ACCCAGAAGGGAAATTGAGAAAATAATAGTATCTACATTAGGAAAATTAAAGAATAAAAGAGTTAGGAATTAACCGAAGAGATGAAAGACTTATACACTGAAAATTATAAAACATTGATGAAAGAAAATAAACAAGACACCAAGTAAGTGGAAAGACATCTTATGTTTATGGATTGCAAGAACTAATATTGTTACAGTGTCCTCAGATTCAATGCAATTCCTATCAAAATCCCCATGCCTTTCCCCCCCCCCACCAAAATAGAAAAAACAGTTTTAAAATGACTGTGTAACTACAAAGGACTGCCAAGATACAACATAATCTTGAGCAAGAAGAATAAGGCTAGAGGCATCATACTTCCTGATTTCAAATTATATAATGTAGGTATGTTAATGAAAACAGTTTGGTTGTGGCATTAAAATGTACATACAGACCAATGGAACATAATAGAGAACCCAGAAACAAACCTATGCAATAATAATGGTCAACAGATCTTTGACGAGGGAGCCAAGAACACACAATGGGGAAAGTATAATCTTTTGAACAAATGATGTTGGGAAAATTTTATCTCGACATGCAGAAGAATAAAATTGGACCCCTATCTCACACTATATACAAAAATCAATTCAAAATTAAAGACTTAAACATAAAGCCTGAAATAATACTTTTAGAAGAAAGCATAGGGAAAAACCTTCTTGGCTTTGATCTTTGCAATGAATTTTTGGATATTACACGAAAAGCAGAGGTGACAAAAGTGAAAATAGACAAGTGGGATCATATCAAATTTCTGCACAACAGAGGAAAAAAATCAACAAATGAAAAGACAACTTACGGAGTGGGGGAAAATATTTGTAAAACATATCTGATAAGGTGTTAATGTCCAAAATATTTAAAGAACTCACATAACTCAATAGCAAGAAAACAACTCAATTCAAAAATAGGCAAAGGGCCTATTGAAAAGACAACTTACGGAGTGGGGGAAAATATTTGTAAAACATATCTGATAAGGTGTTAATATCCAAAATATTTAAAGAACTCACATAACTCAATAGCAAGAAAATAACTCAATTCAAAAATAGGCAAAGGGCCTATGTAGACACGTCTAAAAAGGAGAAATTAAAATGGACTAATAGGTATATGGAAAGTTGCTCAACATCTGTAATCATCCGGGAAAGGCAAGTCAAAACTGCAGTGAAGTACCACCTTACATCTGTTAGGATGGCTATCATCAAAACGACAAAAGGGAAGTTAGCAAGGATGTGTAGAAAAGGGAATCCTTGTATGCTGCTGGTGCGAATGTAAATTAGTGCAGCCATTATGCTAAGCAGTATGGAGTTTCCTTAAAAATTTAGTATAGAACTACTATTTGATCCAGCAGTACTTCTTCTGGCTATATATCCAGTTATATATACAAAGGATATATAATGTTCATTGTAGCATTATCCATAATAGCCAAGATATAACAACCTACATGTCTGCCAACAGATGAATGGACAATGTAAATGTGTGTGTGTGTGTGTGTATACAATTTTATTCAACTTTAAGAAATGAAATTCTGCCAATTGTGACAATATGGATGGAGCTAGAGGCCATTAATTAAGCTAAGTGGAATAATCAAGACACAGAAATAGTGCATGATCTCACTTATGCGTGGAATCTAAAATAGTCAAATTTATCGAAGCAGAAAGTAGAATGTTGGTTGCTATGGGGAGGGGCAATGGGGTAGTGTTGGTCAAAGGGTACAAAGTTTCGGTTATGCAAGATGAATAATTTTTGGAGCTGTAATGTACAGCATCATGATTATAGTTAACAAAACAAACAAAAACAGCATAGCAAAAGTTGGTTTTGAATTCAAAGATCTTTTTCATTGGAATATCTACTAATGTAATGTGATAGAAACTGATTAAAAGAAAAAAACTTGCTATTATCAATAGTAAAAAAATAGGATGATCAGGTTTGAATAAGCATGGCACTAATTATATTTACAGAAAAGAGTCTGAGTATTTCCACCTGTCTAACTATTGATTAGTGTGTTATAGTGGAAAGAACATGGGCTTTGGAGATAACTAAGCTCAAATCCTGATTTTACCACAAAATTAGCTATGAGGCCCTTGGCAATTTACTTAACATGATTGATTTCAGTTTCTTTATCTGTAAAATGACAAGTATAATAATAAACCTCTTGTGATGCTTAAATGACATAAGTATATAAAACAGTGATATAGTGCTAACTTGGAGTTTGCTGAACATATGGTCACTCTTACTATTTCTCTCATGTAGCAGATGAGTACTGCGTTGGTTATCTGTGCTTTGTAACAAATCACCTCAAAACTTAGTAACTTAAAACAACAGACATTTATTAGTTCACAATTTCTGTGGGCAAGGAAACCAGGAGTGGCTTGCCTAGTGATTCTTGCTCTGGGTCTCTGCTGAGGTTGCAGTCAAGCTGTCAATCAAGGTAGTAGTCATCTGGGGCTGGAGGATCCATTTCCAAACTCATTCGTGCAGTTATTTACAGGCCTCAGTTCCTCTTTGCTTGTTGGCTAGAAACCTCAGTTCATTGACAAGTGGGCCTTTCCATAACCCAACTGTCTTTATGATGTGGCTGGTGGTTTTCCCATGTAATCCGAGAGAATGGGAAAGAGAAAAAGAGTGAGTTGATAAAATGGAAGCTGCACTGTCTTTTATATCATCACTTTTGCTGTGTTCTTCTGGTTACAATGTAGGAAGATATTACACAGAGGTCTGAATACCAGGTGTCTTAGGTCATTTGGCACTGTCTTGGAGGCTGCATACTACAATTATCAAACACAGGGTGACAGAAGATGTATGACCACTACATTGTAGTTACAGGTGAACTTTGTTATCTTCTGGTACTGGAAAGTAGTACAATATGCATAGGTTAAGTGTATTATTTGCTTTACTTTTAATGTATGTTTTAAATTTGGGAGAGATAATTGGACCAAATAACCTGAATATTTGTAAGAATGAGTTAGGTAGCATAAGATTCTCTTTAATACAGTAGTAAAGTTGACTGTAACTGGAAGAAAATTCCGGTAAAAAGAAAATTTTCTTTTTACCTGAACCTCAGAATTTGTCATTTTAGAATGAATAGATCAGATATTAAAAGCAGAGTGTCCATGTTGTGGGATTTTATAAGAGTTAATACATTATTTCATTCTCAACTTAAGAGAAGTTCTCTAACACAAATACATATCCTCTCTTACTATGTTTTTTAATACAAATAAAATTACATAGTATACTTTATTAATGTATAGTATAATCTACAAATATTCATGCAAAATACAGATTACTGAAATTGTACAAGACTTTAGAAGTTCTCTAGTTTAATTTTCTCATCAATGTAGGTATCCTTTTGTCTTAGTCCATCTTGTGTTGCTATAACAGAGTACCTGGCTGGGTAAAGAAAAGAGGTTTATTTGGCTCACAATTCTGGCAGATGGAAAGTTCAAGATTGGGCAGCTGCATCTGTTGAGGGCCTCATGATGCTTCAACTGATGGCAGAAAGTGGAAGGGGAGCTGTATGCAAAGAGATCAGTCACATAGAGAGAGAGGGAGCAACAGAGAGTCTACAAAGCCAAACTTTTGTAACAGCCCACTCTTTGGTAACTAACTCTTTCGCAAGAAGGACACCAAGCTGCCAAAGAGGGAAGAGCTGTCATGGCTTAAACACCTCCCATTAGGTCCTACTTCTTACAGGTTCAACCTCTCAACATTGCAGTGTTGAGAACCAAGCCTCAAACTGAGTTTTGGTGGGAACAAACCATATTCAAACCATAGCACACTTTAATTAATTTTAATAGTAAACTCCACCTTCCATTTGTATAATGGGTGATTGCTTTCAACACTGTTCTACTTATATTGTCTCATCTGATCACTACAGTAACTCTGTGAGGTATACAGGGCAGGTACTGACCCCATTTTACAGATGTGAAAACTGAATCTAGGACAGGCTAAGTGTCATTTCTAGTGTCATATGACCAATAATTTGCAGAACGAAGGCTTCAAGGACCTGTTCTCTGGCTCCTAGTCCGGTGCTGTTTCTGCATCATACTTTTTCAGATAGTTCAACACATAATTATTTACATAAAATTCTACTAAAATGTTAGTTTTTTCGTATTGAGACAACTTCTGATTTTCTATGATTTATTCTCATTGATGTTGAACCTTATTTCCTGGAGCACAGAACAAGTCTTTTACTTCTCCCATTTGATATTATTTTGAGGAATTAAAGGCAGTTATTATATTTATTCCATTCTCTCTGTTCCTTCAGAGATTTGTATTTCTTATACAAATAATGTGGTTTTTCAGACTTCTCTTCATTTTCCTGTCTCTAGGATAAAATTACTTATATTTCTTGAATGTAATGGTTATACCTTCAGAGATTTGTATTTCTTATACAAATAATGTGGTTTTTCAGACTTCTCTTCATTTTCCGGTCTCTAGGATAAAATTACTTATATTTCTTGAATGTAATGGTTATAATATATATATACATATATATATATATATATATATAACATATTATAATTTATATAATGGGTTATATTATAGGGACATTAAGGTTTATAAGGATAAGAAATACACAGTATGTTTATTTTAAGTGTTCTCATGGTGCAGTACAATGATAATAGCAAATATTTCTATAGAGCCATGTCTAATACACTGTTGTAAGAGTTTTACATATATTAACTCAATCTTTAAAATATTGCTATGAGTTAAGCACTATTATTATTGTTATTCTCTTTTTATAGATAAGGAAACTGAGACATAGGCTAAAAAACTTGCCCAGGTAAGTGGCCAAGGTAGATTATGCACTCAGGTAGCTTGGCTTCATAGTCTGTGTCCTTAATCATTACTCATGCTCCAGAAGATCTTTCCAGGTTTAGACTTTATATTTCATAGGCCATTTATTTGTTTGCACTTCTGTTAAATGATTGCATATTTTGAAATTAATTATTTGATAATTCACTATATATAGGAGAAGGATGTCCGGAAGTGGAAGGAAGAATTGTTAGATCAACGACGTAGGATGATGGAAGAGAAATTACTTCATGCGGAATTTAAACGAGAGGTGCAATTACAAGCAATTGTGAAAAAAGCACAGGAGGAAGAAGCTAAGGTATATTAAAGGTGCTTTAAACATTGAATTAATTACCCACGTATTTTTTCTGTTGTTATATAATAGTAGTAGAGGGTAATGTTTATGAAGAGTTTAAGGGCCGGCCCGTGGCTCACTTTGGAAAGTGCGGTGCTGATAACACCAAGGCCATGGGTTTGGATCCCTATATAGGGATGGCCGGTTAGCTCACTTGGGAGACCGTGGTGCTGACAACCCCAAGTGAAGGGTTAAGATCCCCTTACCGGTCATCTTTAAAAAAAAAAAAAAAGAGTTTATTCTGTCCCAGAATAACAGAGCATTTTATACGCTCACCTGTTAAAACTTAATCCAGTGACGGGTGCAAACCTACGATGGGTATCCACATCTTTATGACATTATTTCTTTTTTTCTTTTTTCCTTTTTGTCTTTTTTCGTGTCCGGCAACGGATCGCAACCCTCAGTGTCGCGCCCGTACCGGACCGGGACCGGCAATGGGATTGCAACCCTCGGTGTTGCGCCTGTACCTCGCTCAGCCAGTGAGCGGGAACTGGTCTGTATGTGGGATCCGAACCCTCGGTGGGAGCGCCACTGCGCTCCCAAGCGGCACACTGTAGCAGTGTGCCACCGGGCCGGCCCTTCAATTTGTTGTTTTGACATGTATTTATCTCTGAAACTATCAGTGCAATGAACATAATAAATGATTCCTCTTTGTAATTCATTCCTTCCTCCAACTCTGTTACCATGCAATTGCTTATCTGCTTTCTATCACTATAGATGTTTGCATTTTCTAGAACTTTATGTGAATGGAATCATACAGTGTGTACTCTTTCCTTTGGCTTCTTTCACTCAACACAATTATTTTGAATTTCATCCATAATATTTTGTGTATCAGTAGTTCTTTCCTTTTCATTGCTGAGAAGTATACCACTATATGGAAATACCATAATTTGTTAATCCAGTCACCTGTTGGTGGACATTTGTTTTCTTTCTAGTTTTTGTCCATTACAAATAAAGCTGCTGTGAACATTCTTGTACAAGTCTTTGTAAAGATGTATGCTTTCATTTTCCTTTCATAAATACCTAGGAGTGGATTGGCAGAGTCTGATATCTTCACGTTTTACTTAAAAGAAAAACAAAAAAGCAGTTTTCCAAACTAGCTAAACTATTTCACATTTCTGTCAGCAGTGAATGCAAGTTCTAGTTTTGCCACATTCTGACCAGTAGTTGGCATAATTACACATTTTGATTTTAGTCATCCTATTTTAGTATATGTATAATGTCTCATTTTTTTTCCATTTTTATTGTGGGAAAAATACAAGGTAAAATTTACCACCTTAACTATTATTTAGTGTACAGTTCACTGGTATTAAATATATTCATGATGTACAACCATCACCACCATCCATATGTAGTAGTACTCTTTTCATCTTGTAAAACCAAATTGTGTACCCATTTGTATTAGTCCATTTCTATTGCTTGTAACAAAATACCCAGAACTGGGTATTTTATAAGAAAATAAAAATTTATTGCTTACAGTTTTGGAGGCTGAGAAGTCCACAGTGCAGGGGAACACATCTGGTAAGAAGGGTCTTGGTGGCGACAGTGACCCAGGAGTCTCACATGGCAGAAATTGCAGAGCAAAGAGAGAGAGGTAGCTCCTTATGCACTCTCCTTTTAAAGCCCCCAGAATCACTCCCTTGATTACCATTTTAATCCATTCACTAGGCATGGTCCTCAGAATCTAATCACCTCTCCAAGGCCCCACCTTTCCATTACCGTAATAGGATTTCTCACCTTCTTAACAGACACAGTGGGAATCAAGCTACTAATACATAAAACTTGGGGGACACAATCCATATCACCATTAAATAATAACTCATCATTCCCCACTTCTAGCTCCTTCATAAAACTTGGGGGACACAATCCATATCACCATTAAATAATAACTCATCATTCCCCACTTCTCCTAGCTCCTTGCAACTAGCCTCCTACTTTCTATTTCTATGATTTTGACAACTCTTATTGCATCATGTAAGTGGAATCATGTAGTATTTGTCTTTTAATGACTGGCTTATTTCACTTAGCATAATGTCTTCAAGGTCTCAGTGTTGTAGCATATGTCAGAATTTCTTTCCTTTTTAAGGCTAAATAATATTCACGTTGATTATCCATTTATCCATGGATGAACACTTGAGTTGCTACTACCTTTTAGCTATTGTGAATACTGTTGCTATAAACATGGGAGTACAAATATCTCTTTGAGTTCCTGCTTTGAACTTTTTTTCTGGTATATGCCCAGAAGTGGAATTGCTGTATTATATGGTATTTCTATTTGTAATTTTTGTAGGAACCATTGTGCTGTTTTCCACAGCAGCAGCACCATTTTGCATTCTCACCACCAGTGCACAAGGGTTCCAGTTACTCCATATCCTCCCAACTCTTGTTATTTTCTGTTTTTTGATAATAGTGATCCTAATGTGTGTTAGGTGGTATCTAATTGTAGTTTTGATTTGCATTTCTCTAACGATTAAGTGATGTTGAGCATCCTTTCATGTACACATTGGCCATTTGTATATCTTCTTTGGACAAATGTCTATTCAAGTCCTTTGTTCACGTTGAATTGACTTGCTTTTTTGTTGGTAAGTGTAGGACTTCTCTATATGTTCTGGTTGTCAATCCCTTATCAAATATATAATTTACAAATATTTTCTCCCATTCTGTGCATTGTGTTTTCATTCTGTTGATAGTGTCTTTTGATGCACAAAATGTTTTAATTTTCATAAAATCCTATTTGCCTATTTTAAATTTTTTAAATTTTATTTTTTATTTTGTTGCCTGTGCCTTTGCTGTCACATCCAAGAAATCACTGTTGAATCCAATGTTATAAAGCTTTTGTCTTGTGTTTTCTTCTAAGAGTTTTATATCTTTAGATCTTACATTTAGATCTTGATACATTTTGAGTTAATTTTTCTGTAGGGTGTTAGGTAAGGATTCAACTTTATTCATTTGCATGTGGCTATCTAGTTTTCCCTTGACCATTTGTTGAAAAGACTGTCCTTTCTCCATTGAATGGTCATGGCACTGTTGTCAAAAATCATTTGACAGTATCTGTGAGGATTTATTTCTTGGCTGTCTATTCCATTGGTCCATTTACCTATTTGTATGCTAGTACCACTGTTTTGATTACTGTTTGTAGTGAGTTTTGAAATCAGGAAGTGTGAGTTCTCCAATTTTGTTGTCCTTTTTCAAGATTGTTTCAGCTATTCAGGGTCCCTTGAGATTTCATATAATTTTTAGGATGGTGTTTTTCTATTTCTGCAAAATCGTTTCTGGGATTTTGATAGGGATTGCATTGAATCCATAGATCACTTGGGTATTACTGATATCTTAACAACATTAAGTCTTCCAATTCATGAACATGGAATGATTTTCCATTTATTTATGTCTTTATATTTTTCAACGATATTTTGTAGCTTTCATTGTATGTGTCTTAAACTTCCTTGGTTAAGTTAATTCCTAAGTATTTTATTTTTCTTAATGCTATTGTTAATGGAATTGTTTTCTTAATGTCCTTTTCAGATTATTCACTGGTATGGTGTGGAAATGCAATTGATCTTTGTATGTTGGCTTTGTATCCTGCTACTTTCCTGAATATTTATTAATTCTAATGTTTTTCTTTTGTATGTGTCTGTGAAATCTTTTATGCATATAAGATCATATCATCTGCAGAGATAATTTTACTGCTTCTTTTTCAATTTGTATGCCTTTTATTCTTCTTTCTTGCCTAATTGTTCTGGCTGAAACTTCCTGTGCTATGTTGAATAGAAATGGTGAAAGCAGATATCCTAATCTTGTTTTGTATCCTAGAGGAAAAGCTTTTAGTCTTTCACCATTGAGCATGATGTTCACTGAGATTTTTCATGTTTGGCTTTTATTACTTTGAGTTTGTTTCTTTCTATTCCTTAGATTCCTTGTTGAGTATTTTAATCATGAAAGGGTGTGGAATTTTGTCAAATGGTTTTTCTGCATCAGTTGAGATTTTGTGTCTGGTGTGTGTTTGCCATTATTCTGTTAATGTCTTATATTACATGGTTGAATTTTTATTTGAACCAGTTTTACCTTCCAGGAATAAATAATGCTTGGTCATATTATTATGTTGCCGAGTTCAGTTTTCTAGTATTTTGTTGAAGGTTTTGACATCAGTGTTCATAAGGGATATTGATCTATAGTGTTCTTTTCCTTGTAGTCCCTGCCTGGCTTTTGTATCAGGGTAATGCTTAGCCTCATGGGATGAGTTAGGATGTGTTACTTCCACTTCTATTTTTTGGAATGTTTGAAGAAGTGTTGGTGTTAGTTCTTTAAATGTTTGGTAGAGTTCACCCATGAAGCCATCAGGTCCAGGGCTTTTCTTTGTTGGGATATTTTTGATTATTGATTAATGTTCTTACTAGTTATAGTCTATTCATATTATCTGTGTCTTTGTGATTTAATCTTTATAGGTTTTATATTTGTATATGGTGTGAGTTATGGATTGAGATTCAGTTTTTTCATATGCATGTGTAATGTTCTAGCACCAGTTGTTGAAAAGACTATCCTTTTTGTATTGAGTTGCCTTAGTACCCTGTTGAAAATCAATTGGCCATAAGTGTGTGGATTCCTTTCTTACTCTCCATTCTGTTTCGTCTATCCCTCTGCATATTTTTTTGTTACCAACCACTCTATCTTAATTACTGTACTTTTATAATAAGTCTTGAAATCAGGAAGTGTAAATCCTTAAGCTTTGTTCTTTTGAAAAACTATTTTGGCTATTTCAGAATCACCTTGTGAATGTCTACAAATTTTTTTCAAAAAGCTTACCTGGATTTTGATTGGGATTGCATTGAGTTTATACATTAATTGGGGATAGAATTGACATCTTAATGCTATTGAGTGTTCTGATCCATGAGCAGGGAATGTATCTCTAGATGCTTGTCTTTGCATGTATTTGTGAAGTTTATCTGTAGTTCATATTTTTGATGCCA